TGACTTCATTCCTCCCCCCTACTTCGTGCAGAGTTTGAGAAAATGTCGTCAGAAATGACAGGAAGTGTAGTAGGGAGTGAGGTGATGCCTCTGGACTATAGGAGCATGGACTCAGAGAGTAGTCCGTCTCCATCTAGTTCAGAGAAGACGGTCGAAGGGGTGAGAGGAGATGAGGTGGTGGAGGTTGGGGAAGATGAGGTGGTAGGGGTTGGGGGAGATAGCATACCCATTACTGTAGTAGAAGTAGAGGGTAGAGGAGAGGGAGAGTATGATGTGAATGCGGAGATAGTGGAGGAGGTGAAGCAATATAGGTCTGAGCTAAGGACCAGGGATAGCCTGGGTCACTTAGTAGAGAATTACGAGATTTCATCTCGAGTGTTAGTTAGGCCAGCTGGGGTAGAGGAGAGGGCGTGCTCTGCTCCTCGGGATCACTGGATGCCTGTGTATTCCCACTATTTGATAGCGGGACTCAGGTTTCCACTTCCTGAGTTGCTAATAGGTTTATTGTTAAATTACAATATAGGGTTGACACAGTTGGTCCCCAACGCAATGAGGGTAATAATAGGTTTTTTAGTTTATTGCCGAGCTCAGGGGATTAGTGTGCCAACTGTAAATATGTTTAAGTATTTTTTCGTTTTGAAGGGGGGAAGTAGGAGGGATAAGGGGTGGTATTATTTCACCCCTAGGGTAGCTAAGAAGGAGAGTAGGATTTTATTTACTGCGGGTCCTTCATCCATTAAGGGATGGAAGGAAAAATTCTTTTTTGTAGATGATACTGAGTGGGGGAAGGGGGATGCCGAGGTGAGGGCGTTAGCTTCCTGAAAAGCCAAAAGGGCCAACCAGAATAGGTTTAGCTTAAATGGGGATGAGGAGGAAGAAGTGAGGAAGTTGGTGAGGAAGAGGGGAGATGAATTGAATATCATGGACCTCACCAGCGCAGCATGCATAAAAGCTGCTGAGCTCTATGGGCCAAGCGCTCTGAGTGAAGGTTTGTTTAACATGCACTGTAGCGTTAACTGTAGAATATAAAATTGTGACTAATATTGTGTTTCTTGCTTTGCAGCTGAAATGGACCAGTTTCTAAACATTGCTGGAGGAGCGCCCATCCCCAAGAAGCCAAGGAAGAAGTCAAAGACTTCAACCAAGAAAGTGGATGAGGGGAGGACTGGGAAAGAGGTGGTACCCTTGGCTTCAACTGAGACAAAGGAGGAGGTGCCAGCGCTGAAGAGGAAGGGTTGGGAAGAGAGGAGGGCACTGCAGAAGAAGCAGAAGGTGGTGGAGGAGGAAGAGGGGAATGGGGTGCCTGAGTTCGTACCTCAGCCTCCTCCTGTTGAGCTGAACCCTGAGCTCAGACGGTTGGAGGAGGGGGCTGAGGTACGGGCTCCTGGTAAGGGAAAGGGCCCTGTTTCCCCGGTGGTGCCTCAGAACAGCCTGTTCGAGGCGAAGAACATAATGGGGGCTAGGTGGTTCATCAACAGCACCTTCCCCGAAGTGGACAAGCGCAACGCGCGGGAGGAAGCTCTGAGGTACGGGGGAGCATCTGTTGTGAGGCATGTTCTTGAGGTGCGTTAAATTAGTGTTGCTATTTATTTATTCTGTTTCTTCTTCTTTTCTTTCTCTTTGAACTTCTGCTTTGATTTGCAGAGCGCAAGCTGGGTGAATGGTCTAGTCCAGGAGTTTAGGGAGAGTATAAAGGAGCGCGCACTCTTGCAGAGGCAGTGTGACCAGCTGCAGAAGGAGAAGGAGGTGTTGGAGAAGAAAAATAAAGATATGCAAGAGTCGCTGGACGAGGTGGTTCCAACTGTGAAGCAGTTGGAACAGGAGAGGGCTTCCCTGAGCACCAAGCTCGGCTTTGAAGAGAGTAAACGAAAGATCTCTGAAAGCGAGCATGAGGCTCAGGCGCAAGAACTGAAGCTGACGAAGGAGGCTTTCTTGGAGCTGAAGGGGAACGTGCAGACCTTGGTGCACAATGGGATGAAGGAGCACATCAGCAACTTCATCAGCTCCAACTCGTTTGACAACATCGTCAACCTATACCGGCTGCCTACTGCCATCATCGCATTCACGGATTGTAGGAAGAAGGTGAAGGCAGAATATCCCGAAGTGGATATTACGAAGATCACCTTCGGAAAGCAAGAAGGAGGAGTGGAGGAAGATGGTGAGAGCATGTCAGCAGACTTCCGTCCTCAGATCAAACTGAGGTGGGAGGATGATGCAAACGGACGTGCTGTTTTCCCTCCACAGTTCGACTTCGAGTTCGTGGCAGTGGAGGAAGAAGGGGCAGAGGTAGAGGAAGACGAGGTGGAGGCAGGAGTGGAGGGAGCTGAAGTGAATGAGAGTCAACCAGTTCCAGAAGTGGAGATTCATCCAGTTCCCTCTGACGATGAGCAGCCTCCTTTGCCAGACGAGCAGCAGCCAAGATAGCCACCTCTTCCAGCTGAACAGGAGCCAGTGGAGCCACCTCTCCCAGCAGAAGAATAATTTGATTGTTTTTTAATTTTATATTTTATTTTATTTTATTTTTTTGTAAAGACATTTAAACAGCTTGTAATCTTTATTTTAATTGAAATGAAAATTTATATTTGAAATCATGTGTTTGTTTATATTTGCTTTACATTTTTGGTATTATTTTTCATTAATAAAAGAACTGAGGTTGTGATTTGGATGAAAGGCAACCATTTCAGAAATGAACTAAGGGGAAGTAAGTCACTTCAGACGAAGTAAGAAGAAGTAAATAACTTCCATGTAGATTAGGAATAAGTACATCACTGTGAACGAACTTAAAATGAAATAAAGTACTTCACATGTGAAGTGACTTTTATTAATCAGAAGTGAGATTTAAGTACTGATTGACCTTGGATACATGGAATAAGAGATAAAATGAATGTCAGTAATCACCAAACAAGAACTGTAAGACAGATTCTTTGAAAGAATTTTATTAAGGGTAAAATTTCTTCAAGTTATTGACATTCTAGACTCTAGGAACTCTCTTTCCTTTAGCGTCTTGGAGGACATAGGCACCAGGATGTGGCACCTCGGCCACGGTATAAGGGCCTTCCCAATTCGGGGCGAGTTTGCCAAAACGAGTTTCAAACCCTGTTAGGCCAGCTTTTCTGAGAACAAGGTCTCCTATTTTGAATGTGCGAGGGCAGACCCGTTTATTATAGAAGTTGGCTAGTTTCTACTTGTATACAAGAGTTCGAAGCCGAGCTTCTTCTCTGACTTCAGCAAGCAGATCAAGGTTTTCCCGAAGCAGTTGTCCATTTCGTCCTTCATCGAAATGGGTGACTCGGAAGCTTGGGACTCCTATTTCAACAGGAATGACTGATTCGGTACCAAAGGCCAGGTGGTAGGGTGTTTCACCTATTTCAGTTAATTATAACTTTAGAATGCGCTTTATGCATTATGCATATTTGCTCTAAGGTAAATCGTAACAGAAGAAGTGAAATACTATAGAAATTAATCAAATAAACTTGGTTTAAAGTAGTACCTGTGGCAGTTCGGCTTGTGGTTCTGTATGCCCAGAGGACGTTGTTGAGCTTGTCTGCCCACTTGGCCTTATGCTGCTCCAATCTCGGCCTTATACCTTCCAAAATGCATTTGTTAACAGATTCCACCATGCCATTGGACTCCGGATGGTAAACGGAGGTGAACTGTAACTTGATCCCATAACTGGAACAGAAATCTCGGAAT